TGGAAACTTGGCCTAATTGTAGGCTCCCTATAGAATAGCTTCTTGATTTTCTATTTTACTTATGTAATTCATTCATTAGCCTGTAATAATTTGTAAACAGATAGTTGGGGTATTTAGTAAAAAGGGTGGGTAGATGTATACTTTATGGGGCAATATGGGTAGCAATCCTACTCTTAGGATCTTACTTTTTTTAATCTGCCTACTTTGCGCAATAGAAAACATGCTCATAGGGATTTTCTCTTTGAAATCTGATTGCTTTGCCTAATAGACATGCCTATAGGATTTCATTTCTAATTTCGTTTGCATCACATAGAAATCATGTTCATAAGGTTTTGCATTCTGTCATGTTAGAAACCATGTTTATAGGTTCCAAACAATCATGTCTTAAATCAGTAGATGTCATGCCTATAGGACTCAACTCCGATCCAGTTTTAATAAGCGTTTCTGTATGTTGCTAAAATCAGTGATACGCCTAGATGTCATGCCTATAGGGATCTATACTCGCAATTCTGTCTGGTAATTTAATTTGGCCTAATAAATCAACTTCATCACGCCTAGTTCATTTTTTTTAAAAACTGATCTTATCAAGTGTCAAGCATTTTCTGAAACAAGATCTTTCAAAAATTGCATTAATCTCATTAGATACCATGCTTATAGGTATTAAAGGAGTCTATTTCTAAAACCTGTTTATTCCTGCATTAATGTCGACACAGTATGCTGCATATAGGCAAACCTTAGGGCATTTTCAAAACCGCATTCCCCTGAAGCTCTTTCTCCGCCGTTCAATGTTTCTGATTCTAATAACTTTTAAAAGAATCCCTAGGCAACATCTAGGTTATAACTTCTGGGCATAAAATATGGTCTATTTTTGCATCGTTACTTAGAGATCCTGTTTTAGGACTTTGATTAATAGAGACCATAACTGTGTTTGAGTCGTGTTGCTTGTATGTTTACTTTTGGAGGAAATTTGAGCCTTTATCTACTCTTTCCTGTTCTTGTTTGCTCAAAGTCCTAATTGTTTTGCTTGTCACATTAGAATTTTTACCTTTAAAACCTTATGGGTTTGTCTAGAACTACCTATAGGTAAAGGTCCTAACTCCCTCCGGGACCACTAAGAAGGGACGGGTAGCAGCACGCAATAGGAATCCGTGACCGACACTCGCTTTGCATGACCAATAAGGGGATGGGAAGGGTAGACATGGATATGATGACCGGTGCGCTAATACCACGCGTAGCCCCTTTTTAAGAAGTGATTACCGGGCATTGCACTGATGTGATCCTATAGGCTAACCAACCTAGGACTTCCCTCTCCCCCAAATCCTTTTGATTGAAACTTCATTTTTCCCTTTTTTTCACAACCTGTTTAAATTCTTATTTTTATACAATGCCCAACATGCTCTACTTGCAATTACTTGCTTCAATTGTTTATTTATGGACTAATTTGTGAATATAAGTTCGCTCGGGACCCACAGTTGTGGACTGAGAGGGGTGCCTAACACCTTCCCCTCGATGTTACTTCAAGCCCTTATCTAATCTCTGGTAATGCAAACCAACCCAAGAGTTAATCGCTCTAGGTGCCCTAACGCACCATAATCCGTTAGGTGGCGACTCTTCAAATACCCAATTCCCAAAAGGAAATGAGCCATTACACCCCGTGAATGTCGAAACTCGAACTTCTCCCCGCTAGGAGGGGAAAAAAGGGGGCGCGACACCACTTACCCATTTCCTCCAAACTAACCATATTCTTCCATTTGGATATTAGCCATAGACCACCATCCTTTAAACAATTTGTTGGCAACTTGCTCAATCTTGCTTCCTTTTATTTTTGTCTCTACTAGACCTGTCAAACTAATTCCTTCTGTGCTACAAAGGAGTTTTACCTCCTTTTGTTTGTTAGGGGAATTGAGGCCCCTAACATTCCAGCATAAAACATTATCCATCTTCTGAGAGAGGTAAGTCAGTACCTCCCCCATTCCTAGGCGGGCTCATAGGTAACACTGTACTAGACTCTGGCCTGTCCAATATCTGGAATGAGTTTTGTTGACCTTCTTTCTGCTCATGATGTTTTGGTGGATGTTTGACAGTGTTCAACGGTGTCACCCAAGCTGTTCTTCCTGAGTTCTGATGGTTCTTTTGTTGCCTCGAGTTCCTTCTGTTCCCCTTGTACTCTTCTGTGCATTCCCTTTTTCCTCTTCCTTCTTTCCATCTGTTGATTCTTGCTTGTCTTTATTTGCTGGGATTACATCTTCCTCTATCTGCCCTTTTCCTTTTTGGTGTTTTGGGGTAGTTGATTGGTTATTTTTCCTTTTCCTGCATTCCTGCTCCGAGTGCCCATATTTATGGCAACAAGCACAAAAGGTAGATTTCCAATCATATTGCACCTTCTGCTCAATCAGATTCCCTTTCTTATTTCTGAAAATTACTTTATCCGGTAGACTTGAATCTACTTCCACTTCAATCAACAGTTTTGCAAAATTCAATCCCATCTTTTTATCTGTGTTATGGTCCACCATTTTAGGTTTTCCAATGAGACTCCCTATTTCACTCAGTCTTAGGACTCCAGTATTTGTCCAATCCTGGCAATTTCACCCAGATAGGGATTGTGTATAGTGCTTTCCTGGTGTATGTCATATCTGGCTCCCAAGATTTTACGATCAATGGTTTGTTGTCAAAATGATATATCCCTCCTTGGATCACATCATTTTTACCAACAGTAGTATCAAACCGAACCAATACTATGCCATTTTTCAACATAGAGACCTTATTTATTCCATGTTTTCCCCAAATCCTCCGAATATAGCCATTCAATACAGAAAATGGTGAGTAAGCTCCTAACACATAACATACTATTGCATTTTTCCAATATGCTATTTCCGTGCTTATATCTTCTAGTTCAATTTCAGAGATGGATGACTCACCGTGTTTGTCCGGTGAGACGAATTCCAGCTTGAACCGCGTTCGACACTTTTGCTATATCAAAGTTGTCCCAAATCGATGCCTTCGTCTCCAAATGTGCTGATGCTTCCACCTCGTCTGCCCATGATAGTTTACTCTGACTTTCCGATGCTTGTGATTCCTTCCTCCACTCTGATTGCTCAATTGTATCCTCAATTTCCATAGTTTGCCCTAGCTCTGTTTCAATGGTCTTTGCCGGCATATCCTCCCGATTAACAGTAATTGTTGGTATTCCTTTCGATTTCTGCTGTCCAGCTCCACTTGTAGCAGATACCTGAGCTTCAATTGCCTTATGCGAAAGGATTCTCGTTTTTTTCCCATGATGTGCTCGTTAGTTATCATGCGCCGAGAGAAAACGAGCCCCTCTTGATATATAAGTATATCTTGGTTATGTCAATTTTTTTTGGCTCCTATACTTTCGGAGCTTTTGTCTTCACTCAGATTTTTGGTCGAATCTTATATTGTGGTTAGAAAAAGTCTCATTTTTGTCCTTGACCGACTTAACTTCAATATAAGGTAATTTTAAACCATAATTCTCGTTTTTACCTTTTCTCCGAGCTCCACGTGAAAATAATTCTAAAGTCATAATAAAAAAAACCTTTATTCTAAAAAAATTGGACACTTGAAGTCGGTAGAGCTTCATTAATGACTTCAAGTAAATTACAAACACTTAAATTACAAATAAGCTTCTAAATTGGGCCAATAAAATTCAAAATTAATTTTCCCCTCTTCCCTTCAACACCTCAGTTCAGTTCGTATATAGATAGCTTTTTGATTCTTTTGCAAGAAATTGCAGTAATATCGAATTCAATCAGCAGCTCAAATGTTGAGAGTTTCTTCTTCTTTGCATATTCCGCCAACAACTGGAATACCTGCTCATTATTTCGCTCTCTCTTTCTTGAAAATCACATCGCCGTTAACTTCAACTTCTCGTAAATTATCAGCATTTACCCGTTTAGCGTTACTTCACTCGAGATCGCTGTTACCCAATTTGGGTAATATCCAGTTTCCCAGCTTTAAAAAGGTGTCAACTATGTTGGGTCAAGGTCATACTTGTTCAAAAGTTATTACAGGTACTGTTGATTGTACGAACCCTATATTTTGCATTTCTATTTTTGTTATTTGTAGCTGCTGCACTACTTTTTATTTGTATTTGCATAATATTGGCATGAGATAGATTTAAAATGGAGTAACGTGGTCAGACGAGGATTCATATAGACTTGTTTGGGACTGTAATATAGTTGTAGTTTTTGAGGATTCATATAGCGGACCCCAACTTGTTCGGGACAGAAATATAGTTGTAGTTCTTGTTGATTGTAAATGATGCACTGTTGAAGGGGAGACCCGGTGCAACACTAAAGTTGCTCCGTTGGTGAAATGTAGGTCAAAATGGAAGGAGGTACTGTTGCTCTTTTTGGTGACATGTAGGCAGTAGTAGAGCTAGGAATTTTAACAAGGGGATTGAAAAAATTCAAACTTGCGACCTAAAGCAATGTTTGAACTACCTTTGCCAATATAAGGTGATTCAAAAGTTAATATATATACAAAAAAGCAATTGTTTTTGCCCTATTTGCGGAGTACAGCTTTCTAATGAAGGTGAAAATAGAAATGGGCTTGTAGAAATATTAGGGGAAAGCAACAAGGCTTGCAGTCTAGTGGTACCAAAAGTTTCCACAACTATTTTTTATTGTGGGAACCCTCTCGTCACATTACAGTTTTTGATATTTGTTGTTGATGCACTTTTGAGAGAGCCTTGGTTGCAAGGTAGGTCAAAATGGAAGGGGTAGAGTCAGTTGGAAAGCTAAGTGTGTTGAAGTGGTTCAATTGAATCTCCTTTGTCGGAAAATTAAACAGTGCAAATCAAGTGAATTTCTTTTTTAGTATATATGTAAATTATTGAATCCCCTTGGTAGTTAGTGTATTTACTCATTGTGCAAGTTTGCATTTTTTCTGAATCACTGGGTAGAGTTGCTCTTTGGTGACCTATAAGTCATGGTTCAAGATGTAGAAACAGCCTCTTTGCAGAAATACAAGGGCAAAGCAACATGACCTGTAGTCTACTGATACTGGTAGAGATTTTTCACACAATCAGTGTGTTCGAAACTCACCATCCCCTTTTACCCTTCCAGTTCCCTTCCTCTCTTCCTAAGTAATTACAAATAAAGGGAGGGTGGAAGGGGGAGCCAGCATAGGGTATAAGCTCACCATGCCCTTACTCTGGCACTGGTTCGCAAGCACTTTTGCACGGGTTAAGCACTTTAGCTGCTGAATTGTTGGAAGCTAGAGAGGGATCTACAATAATAGGCAAGACCATGATTATTTTCTCAACCAAATAACCTTGATTCTGATTAAGGCTAGGTGGTTTTGAACCACAATAGCAAATGGAGATGTCCTCTAGAATTCAGTAGGAATAGAGAGTTAAGTAACTCTACCAGTGTGAGCTTCAAAGTACAGCTGGTGATAAAGGAGGGTAGTAGTGGGTTGTCTGCCACTGTAAAATTAGTCCAACTATGATGAATCCTTTGAGTACTGTATTTAGAATCATAGATTCATAAAGATTACACTAGTTATGTTATTGTCTTTCATGTGAAATTAGATACTCCCTCCGTTTCATATTAGATGAGGTACTTTCCTTTTTAGTCTGTTCCAAAATAAATGACACATTTCTAAATTTGGAAATAATTCTAACTTTAAACTCTTCATTTTACCCATTTTACCCTTAATGAGAAGCTTTTATAGCCACACAAATGTCATGGACCCACAAAGCTTTTACCCGTTAAGCTTTAAGACCACAAGTTTCAAAAGTCTTCTTCTTTTTTCTTAAACTCCGTGCCGAGTCAAACTACCTCATCTAAATTGAAACGGAGGGAGTATCTTTTTTTGTTTGTTCTTGTAGCATTTCAATAAAATTTAGGGAGGATGGGTATTTTGATCTGTATTTGTTATTTGAGTATCTTCTAAAAGGATGTTAACTCCCTTAGACTGACAACCTGAAAATTGTGTTGCTGCGGAACTTCAAGCTCACAAGAATTGGCTTTTCTGCTCAGTAGTTGGGAATAATCATTCAGGGCTTGAATAGTCTAAATATCTGGTGTAGGCCTATTAAACTACTTAAACATCTTTGCCGCAAGGCTCCCTATGGTTGGAAATACACTATCATCTCTACTGAGCTGATTCTAATATTACCAAAAAGTGGCTTCATCAGAAATGTGAGTGTGACTTAATATATCAGTTTGACCTGTCTGAGGTCCTGTGGATTTTGAGATTGTATACTGGTTGTTCTAGATTCTGAAGGGTGAATAGAGGTTTTTTTTCTTTTCTTTTTGCTATCCTCTGATAGGAAACAACCTCTCTATCTCCACAAGGTAGGGGTAAGGCTGCGTATACACTACCCTCCCCTGACCCCACTATGTGGGATTATACTGGGTTTGTTGTTGTTGTTATCCTCTGATACATGCTGTTGCTAAATCTCACAATATTTAACTTTCAGCTTCATATAGTGCTGGGAGTGGTCCTGGAGGGAGTTCTGGAGGTGGTCGGGAGATATTAGTACAGCATTTACTTGTCAAAGAAGATGACCAGAAACTTTTACTGGAGCTTCTGAAAAGAACTGTAGAAGGTTAATTTTCAATTTTTTTGCTTAATGAGAAAAGCCCCATTATTAAAGCTAAGTTATTCAAATGAGTCAATGCCATGATTAAATTTGAAAACTAGTACATTAGTATAAAACAAATTTTCTCTTGATGCTTGTATTTTCAGATATATTGCTGACTGAATTGCTTGTTATATTCAGGAGAGGATCTAAGTGATCTGGCCGTGCAGTATTCCCTTTGTCCATCAAAAGAAGAAGGGGGAATGCTTGGTTGGGTGAGAAAAGGGCAAATGGTATGATTATGATTATGTCTTCAAAAGTATCGTTCTACTTTTTCTCCTTGACTGTGGCCAGGGGCGAAGCTATGTTGGCCCAAGGGTGGTCAACTGAACACCCTTCGCCAACTTTTTCTCCTTGACTGTGGCCAGGGGCGAAGCTATGTTGGCCCAAGGGTGGTCAACTGAACACCCTTCGCCAAAAAATTATACTACGTATAAGGTAAAATATTACTTATTATTGATTAATGTTAGAATAGTCATGTAAATAGGAGTAAATAAATAACCCTAATCCAATATATATTAGGAGTAGGACATGTTATGTGTGTGTATATATATAGGGCTCATTGTAACATATGAATACATCAATAATATATTTTCTCCCGTGCATTCTCACATGGTATCAGAGCAATTGTGAGAGGTTTATCGCTGTGCATAAATTCCAGCAATTCCGGGAAGAGAAATCAGTCACCGGAACCCTTTTTTCCGGCGACTTTTTCAAGCCTGTTTGCGTCTGCCTTGTCTCTGTCAGTGTTGTGCAAAATCCAACACTACCACAAGAGTCGCCACTGTCCGGCGACCAAACCCCACAAAAAATCTCCGGCAAACAGTACCCCACGCGCCTCCACGCGCCACCAGAAGCTCACGCGCGTGAACCCACGCGCCGGCGCGTGCACCACTTTCCGGCCATTTTTTGACGAAGTTCCTTCAGGGCAGTTGGATCGCCCTCAAATTCCGAGCCTACCCATAATTTTATTTTTCAATTCCGACCACTTTGAGTTTTTCCGGCGACTACACTGATTTTTCTGGCAGCTACAGTACTTTTCCGGCAAACACAGTGTTTTCTTCATCTGTTTCAGAGAATTTTCAGTTGATTCTTTTTGTTATTTGGTGATAATCCAACCATGTCTTTGGGAGTCGATGCTTTCGGGTCTAGAAACCCGGGTTCTGGCAGTTCCGGTGTTATGATTACCTCAGAACCTTTAATGGGAGGTTCAAACTACTTAGATTGGGCTTCATCTGTCGAGTTGTGGTGTAAAGGTCAAGGAGTTCAAGATCATTTAACAAAAAAGGCTAGCGAAGGTGATGAAAAGGCCAAAACACAGTGGGAGAAGGTCGATGCTCAGTTATGTAGTATCCTGTGGCGATCTATTGATTCCAAGTTGATGCCCTTGTTCCGTCCATTCCAGACATGTTATTTAGTTTGGGAAAAGGCTCGTAATCTATACACTAATGACATATCTCGTTTCTATGATGTAATATCGCGAATGACAAGCTTGAAGAAACAGGAATTAGATATGTCTACTTACTTGGGACAAGTTCAGGCAGTCATGGAAGAATTTGAGACGTTGATGCCAGTTTCTGCTAGTATTGAAAAACAACAAGAGCAACGACAGAAGATGTTTCTAGTTCTTACACTCGCTGGACTCCCTAATGACCTTGATTCAGTACGTGACCAGATTTTGGCTAGTCCAACCGTCCCCTCAGTTGATGAATTATTCTCTCGATTACTTCGCCTTGCTGCAGCACCTAGTCACCCAGTGAGCTCATCACAGACACTTGACTCATCTGTCCTCGTATCCCAATCAGTGGACAATCGGGCATCTCATACTATGGAAAATAGACGAGGAGGAGGTCGTTTTGGAAGATCTAGACCCAAGTGCTCCTATTGTCATAAACTTGGACACACTCGTGATGTATGCTATTCTTTACATGGCCGCCCAACCAAAAATGCTTATGTTGCTCAGACTGAGACTACAGGTAACCAGGGATTTTCTTTATCTGAAGGGGAGTATAATGAGTTCCTTCAGTATCGAGCAAGTAAGCAGACATCTCCACAAGTAGCTTCTGTTGCTCAGACTAATACTTCTGTTGCTGGTAATTCTTTTGCTTGTGTTTCCCAGTCTAGTCCTCCTGGACAATGGGTTGTGGACTCAGCCGCTTCTGATCATATCTCTGGTAATAAATCACTTTTGTCAAATATTGCGTATTCACAGTCTCTTCCCACTGTTACTTTAGCCAATGGGTCTCAAACCAAAGCAAAAGGAGTTGGACAAGCGAATCCCCTACCCTCTGTCACTCTAGATTCCGTTCTCTATGTCCCTGGCTGTCCTTTTAATCTTGCATCTGTTAGTCGTTTGACTCGTGCCCTCCATTGTGGTATATATTTTATTGATGATTCTTTTATTATGCAGGACCGCAGTACAGGGCAGACGATTGGAACAGGACTTGAATCAGAAGGGCTTTACTACCTTAACTCCCTAAAATCCTCCAAGGCATGTCTAGTTACAGATCCTCCGGACCTAATTCACAAACGTTTAGGACATCCAAGCTTATCCAAGCTTCAGAAGATGGTGCCTGGTTTGTCTAGTTTATCCACATTAGAGTGTGAGTCATGTCAGCTCGGGAAACATACCCGAGCCTCCTATCCTCGTAGTATTGAGAGTCACGCAGAGTCTATTTTTTCTTTAGTTCACTCTGATATATGGGGTCCTAGTAGAGTCAGTTCAACCTTGGGATTTCGTTATTTTGTTAGTTTTATTGATGATCATTCAAGATGTACTTGGATTTTCTTAATGAAAGATCGTTCTGAGTTGTTTTCTATATTCCAGAATTTTTGTGCTGAAATTAAAAATCAATTTGGTGTTTCCATTCGCACTTTTCGCAGTGATAATGCCTTAGAATATTTATCCTCTCAATTTCAGCAGTTTATGACTTCTCAAGGAATTATTCATCAGACCTCTTGTCCTTATACCCCTCAGCAAAATGGGGTTGCAGAGAGAAAGAATAGGCACATCATTGAGACTGCTCGCACACTTCTCATTGAATCTCATGTTCCGCTGCGTTTTTGGGGCGATGCAGTTCTCACAGCTTGTTATTTAGTTAATCGGATGCCTTCCTCTCCCATCCAGAATCAGATACCGTATGCAGTATTGTGTCCCCAATCACCCGTATACTCTGTTCCCCCTCGTGTTTTTGGGAGCACTTGTTTCGTTCATAACCTAGCCCCTGGGAAAGATAAGTTAGCTCCTCGTGCTCTCAAGTGTGTCTTCCTTGGTTATTCTCGTGTTCAGAAGGGCTATCGTTGTTACTCACTTGATCTTCGTAGGTACTTTATGTCCTCTGACGTCACATTTTTTGAGTCTAAACCTTTCTTTACCTCTTCTGACCTTTCTGACCCCCTTGATATATCTGAGGTCTTACCTATACCGACCTTTAAGGAGTCTACTATAGCTCCTCCTTCACCTTCCGCCACAGAAGTCTTACCCGAGTCTCCTATAGCTCCTCCTTCACCTTCCGCTATAGAAGTCCTATCCATTCCAACCGTTGAGGAGTCTAGTGCCACAGGAACACCACTTTTGACATATCATCGTCGTCCGCGCCCAGCATCAGGTCCAGCTGATTCACGTCCTGCACCTGACCCTGCTAATACTGCGGACTTGTCTCCTCTTAATCAACCGATTGCACTTCGGAAAGGTATACGGGCCACCCTTAATCCTAATCCCCATTATGTCGGTTTGAGTTATCATCGTTTGTCATCACCCTATTATGCTTTTCTATCTTCTTTGTCCTCTGTTTCCATCCCTAAGTCTACAGGTGAAGCATTGTCTCATCCAGGATGGCGACAGGCTATGATTGACGAGATGTCTGCTTTACATACGAGTGGTACTTGGGAGCTCGTCCCTCTTCCTTCAGGTAAATCTACTGTTGGTTGTCGTTGGGTGTATGCAGTCAAGGTTGGTCCGGATGGTAAGGTTGATCGTCTTAAGGCTCGTCTTGTTGCCAAAGGATATACTCAGATATTTGGGCTCGATTACAGTGATACCTTCTCTCCTGTGGCTAAGATAGCATCAGTCCGCCTTTTTCTATCCATGGCTGCTGTTCGCCATTGGCCCCTCTATCAGCTAGACATTAAGAATGCTTTTTTACACGGTGACCTTGAGGATGAAGTTTATATGGAGCAACCACCTGGGTTTGTTGCTCAGGGGGAGTCTCGTGGCCTTGTATGTCGCTTGCGTCGGTCACTTTATGGTCTAAAGCAGTCTCCTCGAGCCTGGTTTGGTAAGTTCAGCACAGTTATTCGAGAATTTGGCATGATTCAGAGTGAAGCTGATCACTCTGTATTCTATCGGCATTCTGCCTCGAGTCTCTGTATTTATCTGGTGGTCTATGTTGACGACATTGTTATTACCGGCAATGACCAGGATGGTATTACTAAATTGAAGCAACATCTCTTGCAACACTTTCAGACTAAGGATCTGGGCAAACTAAAGTATTTTCTGGGTATTGAGGTCGCTCAGTCTAGCTCAGGTGTTGTGATCTCACAACGAAAGTATGCCTTAGATATTCTTGAAGAGACGGGAATGACAGGTTGTAGACCGGTTGACACTCCGATGGATCCGAATTCTAAACTTATGCCAGGACAGGGGGAACCTCTTAGCGATCCTGCAAGATATAGACGGTTGGTTGGTAAATTAAATTACCTTACAGTGACAAGACCTGACATTTCCTTTTCTGTGAGTGTTGTGAGTCAGTTTATGGATTCTCCGTGTGATAGTCATTGGGATGCAGTTGTTCGCATTCTTCGGTATATAAAATCAGCTCCAGGCAAAGGTTTATTGTTTGAGGGTCGAGGCCATGAGCAGATCGTTGGATACTCAGATGCTGATTGGGCAGGATCACCTTCTGATAGACGTTCTACGTCTGGATATTGTGTCTTGGTAGGAGGAAATTTGGTGTCCTGGAAGAGCAAGAAACAGAATGTGGTTGCTCGGTCTAGTGCAGAAGCAGAATATCGAGCGATGGCTATGGCGACATGTGAGCTAATTTGGGTCAAACAGTTGCTCAAGGAGTTGAAATTTGGTGAGATTAGTCAGATGAAACTTGTGTGTGATAATCAAGCTGCTCTTTATATTGCGTCAAATCCAGTGTTCCATGAGAGAACTAAACACATTGAGATTGACTGTCACTTTGTTAGAGAAAAGATACTCTCGGGAGATATTGCTACAAAGTTTGTGAAGTCGAATGATCAGCTTGCAGATATTTTCACCAAGTCCCTCACTGGTCATCGTATTAACTACATATGTAACAAGCTCGGTACATATGATTTATATGCACCAGCTTGAGGGGGAGTGTTAGAATAGTCATGTAAATAGGAGTAAATAAATAACCCTAATCCAATATATATTAGGAGTAGGACATGTTATGTGTGTGTATATATATAGGGCTCATTGTAACATATGAATACATCAATAATATATTTTCTCCCGTGCATTCTCACAATTAAAAATAGACTTTGAACACCCTTGCATAGCCCATTGGCAAAGGGTGTTCAAAATTTGAACACCCTTTTTGAGTTTTCTGGCTTCGCCACTGACTGTGGCTCTTGACGACGGAAATCAAAATTTTCTAATGACTTCATTTCTAGAATGTAATCTTGCATACTCACAGGGGTTTAGATGATAGCAACAAAATCATACATATGCTGTCTTACAAACATTTAGATGAAGATTTGGCTTTTCTTATAATTTTTAATTTCCAACTTTATTAAGTACTTCTCTAGTTTTTCTATATTAGAAGCTGCATTTCACTCACGTGGATCCTCAGACTTTAGTTGACTTGATTTATTTGTTTCGGACATGGTTGTAATGTATTTTTATTGTTAAAATTATAAGGTACCAGAATTCGAAGAAGCTGCATTTGGTGCACCACTGAATAAGGTTGTAAAGTGTAAAACTAAGTTTGGATGGCATTTATTGCAAGTTCTATCTGAGAGGTAATCGAAGAAACCCTACTTCACTTCAACAGCTCAAGAGCCTTGTCTCTTACTTGTTGTTAATGCTATGTGCAGAGAGGAATCTGTACTTGAACACATCCAACCCAACGAGTTTCATGTGAAGCTGCAAGATCCATCATTCTTGGAAGAAGCTCAATTGATTGATGTTCGAGAACCCGAGGAAGTGTACGAGCTCATATTTTCACTATTTTGAATACTCGCTTGCAGCTTTTCTATCTTGAAGTTTTCCTTTTTTATAAGTTGAAGAGCATACCCGACTTTACATAGAAAAGCCTCCCAGGAATTTCCCATGAAAATGTATACAACCTGGTTACACTATTCATTTCTGCTTTATGTGTTTGTGACAGGGCCCAGGCTTCTTTACCAGGATTTCAGGTTCTTCCTCTTCGCCAATTTGGAAGCTGGGGACCAGAAATAACAACTAAGTTTGATCCTCAAAGGGACACATATGTCTTGGTTAGTGCATGTTCTTCACTCAGACTGAGTTGAGACGTTAATTTATTTATTTATTTATGTTTGGTAATTAAAATTTTTATTAATCACCAAGGAGGCAAGTACGGAATTTACTAAGCAAAGCTGAACTAACACAGTGAGCTATCTAAAGACAAGAACTAGTATAACTAAAGCAATACAGTAAAGAAAACTCATTTATCAATCTACATTGTACTAAAATCCCCAAGATTGCACCGAACTTCTAATCCCTGGGGAGGCTCTAACATTACAGAGATAAGCAATGTTTCTAGCAATACTGTCTACTACCTTACTGACTCCTTCAAATACTCTTTGGTTTTTTTCTATCCACACAGCATAACTGACTTCTGCATAAATCATTTTAAAGGCTTGAGCTGCTTGTGATCTGCCCTTAGCACTCTTTAAGCCCATTGGATTTGTTGCTCCCATGTAGTTGCTGTGAAGGGATGTCTCTTCATCCATACCAGTTCCACAAAGCTTTAGTAAATCTACAACTTCCATATAGGTGATCTCTAGATTCATGTTAATTTGATTTGATGGACATGCCTATATGTGTGTGTTTTTTGTGTGTGCGCACGTGCATGCGCGGGATTTTGCGGACTGTGAACTTCTACGAATAATTTCTTAGAAGATGAAAAGTTATTTACTTGTAGCTAATATCGTAGAAAATAACTCTCCAAATCATTTCACTTTCTCCCTTACTCCTTATAATTGAAACTTTATGACTGTCTACCGTACAATTACTGTTTCATTACCTTCTTCCCACTTCTCGTTTCAGTGAGAGGTTTATGAGTTGCATTTTCATCTTTTCCCGGCTTCTTTCTTGTCTTGATTTATAAGTATCTGTGCATAAGCATTACGCCCAATACACATATCACGGTTAGTTGTGGAATGGAAACAGAAACAGGATACGCTATAACATTGACCACAAAGTTATCATACACATGTGAAGGTAGCATGCCAGATAGGCTTCTTTACACGGCTTAGAAGTAGGTTTCTGTTCCCTTGGCCTTAAGATAAGAGTTTCTCCCTTAAACAGAAGTGTTGAGCTCAAGACACTGACTGCTTAATTTTTAAATTGACATGATAAATTATAATAGAAAATTATGAGCGTTAGATGTTTCGATATTGATTATCCAAAATTATGTTTCTGTTTCTCTTTTCAAAACTTTATTTATGTCTGTTATGCAGTGTCACCATGGCATGAGATCACTACAAGTCGCCAAGTGGTTGCAGACACAGGTAGGATTTTTATCTTCACATTTGTAGTTGGGCGTAAAGTCAAGTGATAGAAGTGTCCTACCTTTAATACAATATTTTTGTGTTTCTATTATTCTTCTAAGACGCAAGGCATATATTGGAACATTTGTCTCTCATATCCGTAGATGAAGATGGTAGCTCTGCTTGTTAATTATACTTTATGAGTGATACTTCCATGTCTTTATGTAGCTTGCCATCACAAAAAATAATTCTTGGGTGGAGAGGGTCTTTAACTCCGTCACTTTTTCACTCTTCACATGTTGAATTCAAGGCATACTGGTGTAGGTAGTGATGTGTATTAGTGGAAAGCTGGGGTTTGGGTTGGAGAATAAAGTTCACAGAGACATCTCTCCAATTGAATATGAAAAAGGCCTAAATACATGTTTATATAAGAATTATTTATTTTCACGGTATATACTTACGAAAACTAGGCCTTTGTAAAAGCTGCTGCTTTTAGCGTCTCCATATAATGTTGAACCTAACGCTGGCCAAAGCATAGTCTTTTCGCAACTTATCATGAATGCAAAGCTTAGCAAAACCTATTTGATTTTTCCTTTCAGAAAGGAACTTGACTTAACTAGCTTTTCTTACACCAGTTCACCTTAGAGGAGAAAAAGACAGGCTATGTAGGAATTAGTATATTAGCTTCTGATTATAGCACATATACGGGTGTATTTTGTTAGTGAGTATAAAATCCCACCTCCAGAGGCCTTTGCTATTTCATCCAATATACCCCAAAACGCATGTTGTTTTTACATTTGGTCCTATTTAGTGCATCGCATGCTGTGACATTGATCATAATGCAGAAGGCAGGCTATACTGCAATTATGTCGTTTACATCCTCTATTGATGAATCTATCTACTGTTGGTTCTTTACATTGTTTTTTTTTTCGAATCCCAGGGATTCAGGAAAGTATTTAACATTGCTGGAGGAATCAACGAATATGCTGTCAAAGTTGATCCATCAATCCCAACTTATTGAAGCTGGCTCTCTTGTAGCGCTCATTGCTGGGAACTTCCGCTCCTGGATCGTTTTCGTTAGAGGTCATGGTCTTTCCCCTTTGTGTCAGAGCTCTTTCTCCTGTCCCCTCACCTGGTAACAGAGCTCAGTTGGTCACAAAACCATTTTGTTTTCGATTGTCCGACAATTTTCACTCAAACCGACAACTTTTCTAGGGATAACAGGCAGATCTTTCTTGAGAATTCAGATCGATGTGAATGTTTTGGCACCTTGATGTCAGGACATCTATTTTGGCACTACCTCTGTATTTCCAAAATGCTCCAAACATTAAATCATGCTATGCAATGAATTTATTCTGACATGCATATTTTGGTTACAATTTCTTGAAAGTAAGCTGTAGCAAGAATTGTAAACTTGAGTTCTGCAGTTACAGTCTAATGATATAATGAACCTTCCTTTACTTGAGCTCAAGCTGTACAGCATATTACGGGAGAAATTCAAAAATAGCCATAGTTTCAAAAGTAATCGAAATTTAGCTACTTTTCATGTAAAAGATAAATTTGAACAAAAACACTGTTCAAAATTTGGAAATATTCCAGCATAATATGTTGGAGTTGGAATTTTTTACATGTGAACTTCTAGCATAACTTCATAGTGTGCTTGAGTTACAACATAATATGCTGGAAGTTCATACACAGGTACTCCAATCTCTTGTACACAACAACAACTACCCAGTATAATCCCACAAGTGGGGTCTGGGGAAGGTAGGATGTACGCAGTCTTACCCCTACCATGGAAGGGGGGAGAGATTGTTTCCGATAGACCCTCGGCTAAAGAAGGTGAGAGGAGCCCTGATAGCAAGTAATAGCATGACAAATTATTAGAAAACTAAATCGAAGATAGCAACAGAGAATATGAAAGGGGTACTGATAACAAGTAATCGCAAGATAACATATTTAGAAAACTAATTCCAAGGCTTAAACTTTCCGTGTGCTCCAATCTCCAGTATATTATGCTGAAACTTTCCGTTTGCTGGAGTTCCAATATAATATGCTAGAAGTTCATACACAGGTGCTCCAATCTTCAGTATATTATGCTGGAACTTTCCGTGTTGCAGCAAAATAGTGATTATTTTTCAATGACTTTGTAAACGCTGGCTATTTTTCAATTATCAGTCTGAAAACTGCCTAGCCCGTGCTATTTTGACGTAGATTACTCACCTAGAGACTACTAGGGATCCAATTCCCTTGTTTTTTTCCACCCTATTGTGCCACTTTGGCCCCCGACTAATTCGGATTCATTTTGCGTAAGGCTCATTCCCAAGGTTCAAACTCGAGACCTCATGTTAAGGTGAACCGGTCCTATTCATCCCGCAACGCTTGGTGATATCTAATTCCCATAGGCATCTTTTTGTAGAGAACTCATTTTGGTTCAAAATAGTGAATTTCGAAAAAGAAATTATATGCCAAGCACAAAGCATAATATTATAGGCAGTTTCAAAAAAGAAATTAAGAAGTTGATGACTATGAATCTAAGTTTTGTAATTGAATTTCAAGTCATAACATAATCCATGATATATATTAGCATATGTTAACTATAGAGAATCCTTAAAAAAATGTGAGTTGTGTTCAGTGGCGGAGCCAGAATTTTCATCAAGGGGTGTCAAAATATAAATAATTAGATACATCGAAAAATCATGGATAGTCAACGTATAGTAAATATACATAAAATAAAAAAAGTTATCTAGCAATATAGTGTAATTTTTCAACGAAGGGGTGTCGCTCGACACCCCTTGGTTCAATGTGGCTTCGCCACTGGTTGTGTAATAATTTTATTCCCCGCTAATAAAAAGTCCAAAACTTTATTCCTCATACACAAGTTTTTCAACAACACTTTTGTAAATATATAGAAAATAAATTAAACTTAAAAAGTAATTAAAAAAAAGGAAAAAAAATAGAATTCTCGAATTTAATTGTTTTGTCCTACAATCTCTCGCAATCAATCCTAAAATAATTACCTCATCACTCCAACACCTTGTGGAAAAACTACACCATTAATGGAACTCTTTGTCTAACAAATTTTTTCTTTTTTTGACTTCCTTCAAATCCCCATTTTTCCCTTTCTTGCTCTCCCTTTGGGCCACCCCATTCTCCATTCATTCCTTCATTTCTAACATTTCCCTTCCTTCTCCTTGATTTCTCTATAGATAAAAATAAATAAAAAAAAACAAAAAAAAGTAATTTGGATCTTTTTCTTTGCATTTTGTCCCAATGGGGGGTTGTTGCTCAAAGGCAGAGTCTGATCCTGCACAAAATTCTAATGAAGAAATTGCACAATCATATTCAAAACAAGGAGAATCACATGCAGGTAATCTTAATTTACATTATTTTCATGCAATTTCACCCTATTGCATGTATACAATTATATTTACACAACACAATATATTGTGCTGATGTTTTCAACGAAATAGTGTCGGATGACATCTTTTGTTACAAACACAAACATGCATGCGCACGGTGGCGAAGCCAGGAATGTCCCCAAGGATGTTCAAATTTGAATGAAGTAAAAGAAGAACTCCCGACAAAGGGTGTTTAATATATGTTATATACCTTTATAACTTAATATTTTACCTATATACGCAATGTAATTTTCCCGACGAAGGGTAGTCAATTGACGACCCTTACCAGAGTGTAGCTTCGCCCTTGCATGCGCAAGCGTGCATATATGTGCATGCACAAAAAATGCATATGCATGTCACAAAAAGGCACATGCGTGTGCATACACATATTATATTATATTGGAATATTTCAACGAAGCAGTATCTGATGACATCTGGTGTTATTACATGCAGGAAATCATGACACCACACCATCCAAGATACCACCTCATGCATCACCAAACCATTCATCAAAACCATCTAAAGCAGCCCCAATAGGGCCAGTTTTAGGTAGGCCAATGGAGGATATAAAAGCAACATATACACTAGGAAAAGAGCTAGGAAGAGGTCAATTTGGTGTAACACATTTATGTACACATAAACAAACAGGCGAACAATTTGCATGCAAAACAATTGCCAAAAGAAAATTGGTAAATAAAGAGGATATTGAGGATGTAAGAAGGGAAGTGCAAATAATGCACCATTTGACAGAACAACCAAATATTGTGGAATTAAAAGGGGCATATGAAGACAAACATTCTGTGCATTTGGTTATGGAATTGTGTGCTGGAGGTGAACTTTTTGATAGAATTATTGCTAAAGGACATTATACAGAAAGAGCAGCTGCTTCATTGTTAAGAACAATTGTGCAAATTGTACATACTTGTCATTCAATGGGAGTTATTCATAGAGATCTTAAACCTGAAAATTTCCTCCTCCTTAGTAAAGATGAAGATGCACCTCTTAAGGCTACTGATTTTGGTCTTTCTGTGTTTTACAAGCAAGGTAACAAGATCTATTCACTCTCCTTTCGTTTCATTTTATATGATACTGTTAAACTTGACATGTAGTTTAAGAAAAAAAAGAAGTCTTTTAACTAACTTTGAGATTCTTAAGCCGAACACATTATAGGGCAGGCCGGTGCACAAGACATCCTGCATTCTTGCAGGGTCTGGGTGGCTGCATCTCAAGGGGTATGATGTAGACAACCAACCCTAATACAAGCATCAGTGGCTGCTTCCACGGCCCGAACCCGTGACCTATAGGTCACATGGAGAAAACTTTACAGTTGCTCCAAGGCCTCTAGACCGAACACATTATATTTTGAAATTATGCTTTCAGAGTTTAATATTTATTAAAATTTTAGTGATTTTGTACTTATATTTATGTTCCACGTTTTATCCGCCTTTGTTTGACACAAAAGCTAAACATGTAACTTTTTGGTATGTTAATTTAATAAAATTTTGCTAGTTACGTGACAGCAACTTTAGCAGTTACGCCAATGCTCCTCTTCAAAGCATAAGCATAACAATTTTGTAAAAGAGATATAGCAGTAGAGAAGCCATAAAAAGAGAAGCAGTAACAACAGCCACAAAAATAAGATAATTAGCTCAAACAATTATGCGTTAAAAATTTAATACTTGTTGAAATTTTAGTGATTTTTTACTTATATCTATGTTCCACGTCGAAATTTTGGGTTCAACTGAACCCATAAAAAGAGGTTACATCCACCTCTATTTGATACAAAAGCTAAACATGTAGTTTTTTGGTATGTTAATTTAATAAAATTCTGCTCTATTTTTTTTATGCTTAACTTAATTTTTTATTTTTTCTTTTCTTATTTCTCAGGAGATGTGTTTAAAGATATAGTGGGCAGTGCATATTACATAGCACCAGAAGTGTTGAAGAGAAAATATGGTCCAGAAGTTGATATTTGGAGTATTGGTGTCATGTTATATATTCTTCTTTGTGGTGTTCCTCCTTTTTGGGCAGGTAAATTATATTTACTTACAATATAAAGATATTTTACGCTATCAGTGTAGTTTAATAAATGATAACAAATTGTAAGTATGCATCAATTTTATCAAATTATCACTTAATGCTAATTATCTTATTGTGTAACTATTTTTTACGGATCTTTAAACAAATAGTCGACCGGATTCACTGTTTATTTATCTTAGTCGGTATCCATAGAGTATATATTGGTTATACACGGTTATACACATATTATGCTTGGATTATATGTATTACGCATCCGTCAACTATTTTAAATTTAAACGGTTGGATGGATGGTTATTTAAGTTAATTCTTCTATTTTTATTGCATAAAAGTTTAAATTCATGGTATAATGGTGGTTTTAATTTGTTTTCAGAATCTGAAAATGGAATATTTAATGCAATATTAAGGGGACATGTTGATTTTTCAAGTGACCCTTGGCCTTCAATTTCTTCTGGAGCTAAGGATCTTGTTAGGAAAATGTTAAATTCAGACCCAAGTCAGAGGTTGACAGCACTTCAAGTCCTAAGTAAGTTTATTTAATTACTACATTGTTATATATTTAGCCATTTTGAAAATTAATTTTCCAATAAAACATTAAAAAAATATTTAATTTGGAGGAATTGTTACATGTTGTTAATTATATCACGTCAATTTAATCTGATGGTATAAAAAAAAATAACTATACGTTATCGGCAGTGGCGGAGCCACCTTAGTCTAACGGGTGTCAATTGACACGCTATCGTCAGAAAATTATATTGGTTATCTAGGTCATTACTTTTATGTATATAGACTATATGTTGAATTCCCTTAACTTGTTCTTTATATTTTGGCATTCATTAATAAGATTTCTGACTCCGCTACTGATTATCTAAGATCATCCATGGATAAAGGAGGATGGAGAAGCACCAGATACACCACTTGACAATGCTGTTCTCAATAAGCTCAAAAACTTTAGAGCTATGAACAAGTTCAAGAAAGTTGCTCTTCGGGTAAAGAATTTTTACACTATCAGTATGATTTAACCTGTTACATATAGCAGGTTATTTACTCTATTTGTCGGACAGATAATGCTTGATAATTGTTTATACAGTTACTAATGCTTGTATTAGGGTAGACCGTCTACACTACACACCTTGAGGTGCGGCTCTTTCACAGGTCCTGCGTGAACGCGGGATGCTTTGTGTATCGGGCTACCCTTTAGTGTAATTTAACATGTTACGTATAGCAAGTTATTACTCTATTCCCCCGACAAATATGCTTGTTAATTGTTAATATAAACAATTACTACTTATTATTGTAGGTAACTTAACCTGATGGTGTAAAAATTAAATACCGTTAACGAAAATTATAAATTTATTAAGAAAATTTAATTGGAGAAATTATTGCAGGTAATTGCAGGGTGCCTCTCTGAAGAAGAAATTATGGGATTGAAGCAGATGTTCAGAGGCATGGATACTGATAATAGTGGCACAATAACACTTGAGGAATTAAAGCAAGGATTAGCCAAACAAGGGAATAAATTATCAGATTATGAAATTAAACAATTAATGGAAGCTGTAAGTTCTCTTAATTTCACATAATTTTTCAAATGAAAAAGCTTTTTAATATTAAAACTTTTTTTTAAAAAAAAAATTCCGTCTACTATAACTATTGAAGCGAAGCCTTGGAGTAACGGTAAAGTTGTCTCCGTCTGACCTATAAGTCACGGAGTCGAACCCTGAAATCAACCACTGATGCTTGCATTAGAGTAAGCTGCCTACATCACATCCCCTTGTGATGCGGCCCTTTCCCCGATCGTACGTGTACGCGGAATGCTTCGTACACCGTGCTGCCTCGTCCATTATAACAATTACTTAAATGTGACAATGAATATGTTTGTGAGCTTAAGTGACTATTTTGCAACTAAATTTTCTAAAAATTGACCAAATTAGAATTTCCTAAATTTTGGAAGATTATTATCTTTTTTTTTTTAAAATTCTAAAGCTAATTATTGTCATTGTATATATTTTGAAATAATTAGGCTGATGCTGATGGAAATGGGACAATTGATTATGAAGAATTCATCACAGCAACAATGCACATGAATAGAATGGACAGAGAAGAACATCTTTACAAAGCTTTCCAATACTTTGATAAAGATAATAGCGGGTAAGTACGATCTGATTGTGTAAATATTTTTTCAGTACTGCGCCGTTGTCGCAAATTGTGTTCAACTTTATATAATAATATAATTTTTTTTATTGATCAGGTATATTACAATGGAAGAATTAGAGCAGGCTTTACGAGAATTTGGTATGAATGATGCAAAGGATATAAAAGAAATTATCTCTGAAGTTGACTCTGATAATGTAAGTCAAATATACATACATTTCCAAAAATTCCACAAAATTTTTATTAAGAGATTATATATAGATGATTCATATAGCAGATAGAATTCATCTTCCTTTATATTGTTTACAAGTTTAATAAAACAGAAAAAATATAAGGGTAATTAAATGATTATAATTCCAATTATTTATGGTCTCTATTTTACAAATACATATACAAAAAAGTAAGGTAATTTTTTTTTTTTTTTTTGCAGGATGGTCGTATAAATTATGATGAGTTTGTTGCTATGATGAAGAAAGGAAATCCAGAAGCAGCAACAAATGCAAAGAAACGAAGGGAGGTTTTCGTCGAGTAAATTATTGTTGTTGTTATTGTTGATATCAGAAGAATTCGAAAAAAATAAAAACTATATTGGTGTCTTCATTGAGGGGAGGGAGACCAAATTTCAAGAGAGTTTCAAAATTATAGATGCTCTTGTATATTAATTAAGATGTTAAAAAAAATACAAAGGAAAAGAAAAATAAGATAGTAGAATTGAGGGATGTATAGTTGGGGTTTGAGGGTAATTTTTTATTTTTTATTTGTAAATCCATGGTTGTTTTTGAGTTGGAAACAATGGGTTCTTTAATGTATTATCTATATATAATATTATATATAAATACATGTGTATATATATTTTTTGTGCAATGTTAGAAATAGACACTTACTGTTTTTAATCAACGACGTTTTGGGTATTATTAATTTAATGAATTACACATCAAGTTATTGTATCAGTTGTTACAAAGAGTAATATCTTTTTACCAATTGAGATCTCAAGATGTAACGTTTTTTAAAGTATTAAGTAATTTATATGCAGCAGACGAAAGTATTATCATTTTTAGCTTGCGCCAGAAATTATTTACATTCGGTAGCCTAAAAAGTATATAAAATTTGTATAATTTTTGTATATATATACTATTATTTTAAGAGCGGCTATACAGTGTTATTTTCCCATTATATTTCTTATTGAGATTCAAATGATCTATCAAAATTCAATGGAATAAGATTGAAGCTGTATGTAGGACCTTTCTCTGGACGGGTAATACAAAAGTAAAAAAGAAGGCATTGGTGTCTTGGAACCAATTGTGTTTACCTAAGACAGTTCGGGGAATGAATATCACTGATATACAAATATGGAACAGCTGGAACTTGTCTCAAAAAAAGGACAAGTTGTGGATTAAGTGGGTACACACTTATTATATAAAAAGCAGGGACATAATTGATATGGATGCAAATAATGCCTCGTGGGCTATTCGAAAGATCATCAATGCGAGGAAATATCTGGAAAGGGCAGCAGTAAAGATAGAAGAAGCTGTGGTGGATAGAAAATTCTCTATACAACAACAACAACAACAAATCAGTATGTTCCCAACAGGTGGGTCTGGGGAGGGTAGTCTGTACGCAGACCTTACCCCTACCTAATGCAGGTAGAGAGGTTTTTTCCAATAGACCCTTGGCTCAGGAAGGGTAAAAAGAAGAAGAGGAAAGCAAGAAAGGAAGAAAGAAGGAAGAGAAAAGAAAAAGGGAGAGATAAATGTTAAGTAGTACCAAATGATATCAATAGGGAATACAATATCTGAGGCGAACAAAACCACATAACGCAATAAAAATCTAAGAATATGAAGGGACATGCGTGCTACTAAGACTATCGATGAGCAACTAAAAACTACCCACTAACCTTCTACCTTAATCCTCGACCTCCACACCCTCCTATCAAGGGTCATGTCCTCAGTGAGCTGAAGCAGCGCCATGTCTTGTCAATTCACCTCTCCCCGGTACTTCTTAGGCCTACCTCGACCTCTTCGCAAACTCGTCATGGCCAACCTCTCACACCACCTAACAGGAGCATCAATGTTTCTTCTCTTAACATGTCCAAACCATCTCAGCCTTGACTCCTGCATCTTTTCCTCCATGGAGGCTACTCCCACTCTGTCCCGGATAAATTCATTCTTAATCTTTTCTCTCCTGGTACACTCACACATCCATCTCAACATCCTAATCTCTGCTACTTTCATCTTCTGCACGTGGGAGTTCTTGACTGGCAACCACTTAGCCCCATACAGCATAGTCGATCGAACCACCACTCTATAAAACTTACCCTTAAGTCTTGGCGGCACATTCTTATCACATAAAACACCGGAAGCGAGCCTCCATTTCATCAAAAATTCACTATAAGAAGAATGTATAATATGCTTAGAGGAGAACTCCCAGAAATAAGATGGAAGAAGTTGATATGTAACAACCAAGCAAGCCCTGGGTGTTCATACTATACCTGGCTATTCAAGAGAGATTATATACCAAGGATAGGAAGATAAAATGGGGTATGGGGTTTGATCCTACGTGTGCACTATGTGAAGAAGAACAGGAGAGCCACCAACATTTATTCTTTAAGTGCCGATCATCTACAAAGGTGTGGCTATATATCCTGAAGTGGCTCGGCATCAACAGAAATCCTATGGAATGGAGGGAAGAGATTAATTGGGCTAGCGTGCAAGCTAATGGAAAGAACTCGTTAGCAGAAATCTACAAAATGAGCTTGTCTTGTACAACTTATCAACTATGGCAGGAGAGGAATTACAGAATATTCCAACAAAAGAAGAGGACACCAGAAGAAATAGTAAGAACAATTGTGCAAAAAGTCCATTGTAGAGGTAGAATTAAGTCAAAGTTGGGAACTCACCTACAGAAGTTAAATTTCTATCCGAGTCTGTAATGTGAGTAGGGAAGTAGGCTGAAGAAGAAGTAGATACAGTTAGTGATAGTTGATAGTGCTAGAGTTGGGATTTATGTCAACTCTAAGGGGTTTTGATATACTTGTAAATTTTTTTCCCTGGTAATAAAATTTGATAATTACCACAAAAAAAAATACGGATTAAAGTTTTTAATATTTTTGGATAGTTTATTACTTATTGAACAACAAGGAAGACGTTTAGAAGTGTGATATGTAACGACTCGACTGGTCATTTTGAACTCTAGCGCGTCGTCCGGCGGTTTGAGGCCTTGAGTAGCTTCACTTCATATTTTATGACTTGTACGCATAGTCGAAATCAAATTTCGGGAAGTTCAGAGTTGATTCGGATGGAAAAATTCTAATTTAGGAAGCTTTAAGTTGGAAGAATTGACTGAGGTTTGACTTTTGAGTAAACGATCTCAAAATCGGGATTTGAAGGTTCCAATACGTTCGTATAATGATTTTAGACTTGGGCGTATGTTCGGGTTGAGTATTCGGTGATCCGGGGGCATTTTCGCGCTTAATATGGAAAGTTAGCATTTTGAAAGTTTAAGAATTTCTTAAGTTTGATTTGAAGTGGACTTTGGTGTTATCGATGTCTGTTGAGGTTTCGAGCCTTGGAATAGGTTCGTATCGTAATCTATGACTTGTACTTAAAGTTTGGCGTCATTCCGGAATGTTTAAGTATGAATCGAACGCGTTCGTCGAAGTTTGAAAGTTTAAAGAAAGGTTTCGATCTTCGATTCGTAGTTTTGATATTGTTTGGTGTGATTTTAGGCCTCGAGCAGGTTTGTGTCATGTATTAGGACTGGTTGGTATGATTGGACGGGGTCTTGGGGGCCTCAGGCGTGTTTCGGAGGGTTTACGGGTCATTTTGCCATGTCGAGTTGCTGTTTTCTGAGGTCTGGTGCGCCCTTCTTCGCGTTCGCAAGGAAAGGGTCGCGTTCACGAAGAAAAATATGGGAGAAAGAGGTCTGTGAATCGCGTTCGCGGAGGCAGATTCGCGTTCGCGAAGAAGAAAGTTCTGCTGCACAGGGCTGACTTTGGAAGCTTATATCTTGCAATCTATAAGGAATTTGGAGATGATCCAAAAATAAAAGTTGCATCTCTTGGTGTCTAATTTTCAAAAAGTCAAATCATTTAACATTTGGAGTTATGTACAGATTGTTATGGCCATTATACTAGAGGCCGTATGGAGGAGTTGGGCAGCTTGTTTTTCGCGATCGCGATTGGTTTTCCGCGATCGCGAAGGGCAATTTTGAGCTGAGAAATGTTGTGCTTCGCGATCGCAAAGCATTTTCCACGATCACAAAGCATTTTCGGGGTTTGGCTCATTTTCACCTCTTTCCTTCCATGGGAGCCGACTTCGGGGCGATTTTGGAGTGCTATTTTCATCATCAAACTTTAGGTAAGTGATTTCACACCTTGTGAGTTAAATACATGGTTTATACGTAGATTAAAACATGAATCTTTATGCAAGTTGTGGGATTTTAAGAGAAAAACCTAGAATTTGGTATTCTTGAATTTTTACCACGAAATTAAACATGGAATTAGGAATAAATTATATATTTGAGTTCGTGGCGTTATGCGTAAAGTTTTTCTTCAAGAATTTTGGGAATCGGGGCATGTTGGCCTGAAGGTTGACTTTGTTGACTTTTTCAGTGGAGTTGAGAATTATTATAAATTGTTAAATTATTCGCATTGGAGTATATTTTATTGATTTGCATGTTGTTTGACTAGTTTCGAAATGTTTGGCTTTAAGTTGAGGTGTTAGAGAGGCATTGGAGCCGGTTATGGAACTTCGGAGCGAGGTAAGTCTCCTGTCTAACCTCGTGAGGGGGAAACTACCTCTTAGGTGATATAATTTTTATGTGCTACTAGTTGTGGGTGCTACGTACACACGGGGTGATGAGAGTCCGTACGTCGCTAAAGCATGTTTATGTCTGGGTAGACTTAGGACTTTATCATGTAATATTTGAATTATTTGAACTCATTCTGCTGGCTTAATTAATTTAATTTATAACTGAAATTGATTTAGAAATATATGTATATATTAGGCCGAGCCTTATCACCTTGAGTTGTTGGCAAGTTATTTGAGAAGCGGTAAAGGTTATATTCACTTTGTGCTCATGTACTTTATTGTAAGCATGTGTCTCGTAATTCGATAATTTCCTTCAATTCTTGTGGAGCGGGCCGAACGCCTCGGCACTATAATAGATGCATCTACGGTTTGTGTCGCTCGACCCTCGACAGTGTACACATTATTCTAGATAAGGATGAACGACCTCGACATAATCGTGCGTTATTTTGCTGGCAGTTCGAATATTCACGAGGTTATCCTTCCTCGGATTCATGTCATTTTATATGTATTTCTTATCCGTTTGATACTGCACTTGATATATCTGAGTTGTTGAGGTAGTATACAAGACTGTAAATTCATACCTTTAAAAGAAATTTATGGAAGATTATGTAACTTACAGATTTACCCCATTATTGTTGTGTGCTTCATATCTGGTTATGATTTATTATATTGCTTTATTGGACCTCTAGTAAGTGTCGATGTCGACTCCTCGTTACTACTTCTTCGGGGTTAGGCTAGATACTTACTGGGTACGCGTTGATTTACGTATTCATGCTATACTTCTGCACTAAATGTACAAGATCTGACATGTTCAATTTGTGGTTATCTTGGCATGTAGGCACAGCTGCTGAGGAAATTTATGGTGAGTTGCATTTCAGGCTACGCATCGTAGCCCACATAGTCTTCATCGTACTATTTACTCTATTCTATCTTATTTACATTCTGGACAGATGTCATATTATTATCATACTCCTGATAATGCTTATACACTTGTGACACCG